ACCGTTGTGGTAAAGAGGGAGCTGAGCCGAAAGGCAATGCTCTCGATTTACCGGTCAATCTTTGTTCCCTCCCTCACCTATGGTCTTGAGCTTTGGGTAATGACCGAAAGGACGAGATCGCGGATACAAGCGGTCGACATGAGCTTCCTCCGCAGAGTGGCTGGGCGCACCCTTACAGAAAGGGTGAGGAGCTCAGTCACACGGGAGGAGCTCGAAGTAGAGCCGCTGCTTCTCCAAGTCAAGAGGAACCAGTTGAGGTGGCTTGAGCATCTGTTTTGGATGCCTCCTGGACTCCTCCCTGGGGAGATTGTTCTGGGCATATCCCACCGGGAGGAGACCCCGAGGAAGGCCCTGGACACGCTGGAAGGACTATGTCTCTCAGCTGGCCTGGGAGCGCCTTGGGGTCCCCCTGCACTAGCTGGAGGAAGTGTGTGGATTTTGAAGTCTGGGTGTCTCTGCTTAGACTGCTGCCCCACGACCCTGTAATGGATGAAGCGGAAGAAAATTGATACACTATTACACTAAACACTTATGTGCCATATATGAAATAGGTGCAAAAGATGCCACTTTCAGGAGATAATCATACAAACGTCAGGAGATAATCAAAGAAAATGTGACATGACATTTGCATATGTTTTTTGTGCAACTTTTCAAAATGGGTCGCCCACCTTTGAGCCACCCCCACTTCCTCATCTCTGTCCAATCCTCTCCTTGTCAGCTGCCAAACGAACCTATCAAATCACTTCTCCCTCAGCAGCTACAGTCTTCAGTCAGTTCAAAAAGGAACATCTGTCAGAATATGTCAGCTCTCCAGCTGCGCATAACCCTCCTCCTCCCAAACCCTGCATTTAGATAGCATTTATTTTCATTTTCAGAGCGATATGACGCTTAAGCAAAAATTCAGAGTGGAAGACCTGAAAACTGCAGCTCCCAAACAGGGAGCGCTCAGTTCTCCTGCTGTTGCTGTGGGCAACAGCAATCAGTCAATCACACTCAGCTGCGCAGCGCCTCACGCAAATCCTCACCTGCAGCAATCAGGCACTGCCCGCATCAGCTTCACATCACGCAGAAGCTCCATCCAAGCACCAGCTTCATTCATGCCACAACCCTCCTCCTCCCCATCTCCGCCGTGTTCTAGGCCAGCTCCTTCATTCTTCTCCTAGCTACCACCACCAGAGTCTAGGCCACGGGGGGATTTCATCTCATAATCTCTTTCCCCTTCTGCAATCGTGCTGTGCTCTGCTGGGGTCTAAGCGCCAAATTCCAACCACATTCTGTTCAGCACAATAAATGTAATCTTGAAAATGATGTCTTTAGTGTCATATGTGTAATTCATGCAGTGTCAGATTACCTGCCAGCCAACATCCAATTCTAATACTTTGTTTTGCCTGTTCGAGTCTCTCCAGATTGAATTTACTGGTTTAATTTCAAGCAGAGAAGCAGATTTTATCATATCAAGTGAAACATTCTCTCAGACAGGAAACTGCATCCTTGTTTCATTGGCAGATACTTTTTTCAAAATGGCCAAATTATAGTCAAATCAAATCACCATCATGATTACTAACTTGCCTGTTGAAATTTTCAGTGTGCTCCTTCCGAGACAAATGAAATATAGAAACATTTTCTGAACTGGAAGAAATCTTGATGATTTCTTCTTTCTTTGTTGAATGAATCAGATCACTCATTTCTTTTGTGCGATGATTTTCCAATTGCAGTTTACCAGAGGTCAAAGTGCTATGGTCAGATGAGACCAAAAGTCTCATCTGTAGAAAAAGTAGAAAAAACAATTAATTGATCTAAGAACAGATGTAGGAACAGAACCAAGCTCATTTGTAGCAAGCCTTGGGTTGGGGAGAACATAATGCTGATAGGTATACACTGATTCTTTGCAATAGGGGTTTTTCTTCAGATTTTCTTCAGATTTGAACTTTAAGTGGGTCATTCTAACACGTGCATGTTTTGCTTTTGAGTTGTTTCTTGCTGATTGAGGAGGAACAGTGGCAATAAACCGGAACATTCATGGACATTTTTTAGCATTTATGGACAGAATTGACTTTGTAAAGTCCTCCAATATGACAGCTGTTGTGATTTAGGGCTATACAAAAATAAATGGAATTCAATGGTTTTGCACCATTCCATTATAGCTTTTGTTTTGTGTGTAAGAATGCTTTTCTTCCAAAATTGCCCAGTACTTTTCAGTTGCCTTTCATTTTTACACTCCTGGTGAAGAAAAGCAGGCCCACACCGTGATGCTCCCTCCACCATTTGACACAAGGGATGGTGGACTAAGGGTGATGAGCTGTGTTAGTTTTGTGCCATACATTTGCTGGTCCAAATGCAAAAGAAACATACAAACTGCCTCCAACTTCTCGTCCCGAACAGACACTTGCCTGACATAAAACTAATACACGATAGGAGATCTGTCCCATCAAGGACATCTATGTATTCCAGTTCTCATATCCATGTTTCTACTTTTTTCACCAAAACCCAAATCTCCCCCTCCCTCTGCTCCATTGTGTCCCTTGCCGACCGCTCCCATGACACCGAGGCCTGGCTCAGTCCCGCGCACACATGGCACACTGAATGGCATTGTGTATCTAGGCTCTTTTCTCCCCGTTCGTGCCACTCTCCCGGACCTTGAACCTGCGCATTCAGCCTTTGAGCGTGTTGGCAGCCTCTAATTGGTGCAGAGGAGCTTCTTTAACGCCACTGAAACAAGCAGTGTTTTTGATCCCATAAGTGCTCCGCGCCCCCATGCTGCGCCTGTGTACAGCAATGTTCGTGCACCAAGCGATCTACGGCCAGTGCGCAACAAGTTAGGCTTCAAAGTAGTGCATAGTTGCAAGCAGGATCTTTTAAGTTCAGAGATCCAATTTATCTAATCTGAAGTATATAGACATCATGAAAATACTATAATGGTAACTTTAAGACTTTCATAATATGAGAGATTCTCTTAACGTCAACAGAACATTTGACTGGACTCGTAGCAAGTAAAGGAATTCTTTGTGTCAATTTTAACAAACAAAAAGTCAATTTACAAATAATAAATTCAGTTACATTATAACGGCAAAGCCAAACTTGCATTGGTACCAGCTAATTGGAAAGTGTGTATATATAATAAGTAATTCTAATTATTTCTAATAATTACTTCACTCTGCATTATTGGAAATTAAATCTGAAAAAAGCAAACATACGTCCGACCCTTATCTCAATACTGCGTACGGCCACTAGTATGTTTGTGTAGCAATATTAGTCTTTGGTCTTTCAGAGTAATTCATGTTTGAGACTTTTAAAGGTGGCTTAAACACATTTTTTGTTTAAAAAGTAAAAAGTATATTTCTGACCATGGGGCACTGTACTTTTATGTATTGTAAGTCTTCTTCAACAATAATATATTTTAGGTTTTCCATCTGTTTTTGATAAGGAAGGGACCACCAATAAGATTTGCTGGAGGAGAATAGTTACAACATTCACAAGGGGCCTCAAGGATTTCAATGCATTTTGACTGATAAGGAAGCTGTGGGAGTGAGCATGGGCGAGTCTAACCAGTGCTTCTAAAGGACTCTCTCACCACAATTTATATTTGACATTGACTTTAAGAAAGCTTTAAGTCACAACATTTTCAACGTAAAAGCCCTGTAGGTTGTGTTTTAAGATTATTGGGCTGAAATATATATACATTCAACATAATTGAAAAAATGCAACAAAATAAACAATACAGATTTTTATACAATACAGAAATGCTTGGTTTTCACTGAACCTATAGTTATTTTGTATTATATAGATATTCAGATATGTTCAATTCAATTCAATTTATTCTGCAGCACATGCCGACACTCCACAGAGTGTTAAAAAATCTGCTTTTGATAATACCATCAATTCAATAATTACAATGATACAGTCTGGCCCCAACTCACCTTGCGCTGCAGCTGAATTCTCACAAAGTGCCGTTCTCGTCCATCTGGTATGTGACAACCAGCCCTGACTGGACTTCTGCACAAAAACTAAATTATCAGTCACATATTTTCAAAGAGGTTTGAAAAACATATTTCAATAAAAGCTTTTTGATAACAAAGAATGCATTTTTCTCCGTAGACATTTTTCAGTCAGTTCCAATGTGTTCGGTATTATGTATCTTGAATACGTTGTAACACAGACAGAAAAATGTCTTTTAGTGAGCGCCTAGAAACTTGCTTTTATACACAAACATTCCGACATGTTGCTATCTCAACAATTTTTTTCCCAGTGACATTTGAACCAGTTTTTAATCATAATAATAATAATAATAATGCATTTGTTTTATATAGCACTTTTCAAGAACTCAAAGTCTCTTCACATGGCATTATACATTATCTCCAAACACACTGGTGACTCCCACGGTAAACTGTACCATAGCTGCCCAGGGGCCCACTAACAGAAGCGAGGCAATCGGTATGTGCTATCGGCCCCTTCGATCACTACCATCCATTCTCACACACACATCAGACCTATTTTAAAGTGGGTGAAGTGTCTTGCCTAAGGGCACAACATCAGTTTGGTACTTTACAGCCGCAGCCGTCCCGTTGTGGCACCTAGTGTTCTCAGGTACTAACAAATCCTTGCTCTCCTCAGCTTCAGAGGTCTGACAGGATCTGGCTTTCGCATGCAGGTATCAACAATTTAGTAAAAAAGAAAAGAAAAGGAGATATTCGACCTCCCATACAAGTATCCAGTGATTGAACGTCCCTGGCATACTCGGCGGACAAAAGTATAGTTGTGGACCCTAGCCAAGCGTGTCTCTCTCTATGTTTGGGCCATGCCTTTGCTCATACGTTATTGTGATTCATAAACTATGTTATAATAATAACAATAATAATAATACTACAATATAATGAATAAAACCTGTATGCCATTATCTTCATCTGCTGGGAGGCCGTACTCCCCCTTCCTGCCTCCCTTCCCTTCCCTTGTCTAAGTAACATGTTAACTGAGTGGCTTTGTTGCAGCGCACCACATAATGATCAAGAGGAGCGCTTGATGGCATAATGGTGCGCGGCTGGGGAGGTCAGGCGCGGACGGGCAGAGGTCTGCGCGCAGCCCTGAGCCTTCACACGGATCGTCTTTAGAGGCGCGCTCCTTTTTAGCCGCGACACTTTTCTGTTGGCTGACCCCGCGTTTAATGAGCGCGCTCTCGGAAAGCCAGCGCCACGGAGGGCCCCGGGTCTGGAGGCCAAAGCACAATGAGCCAAGAGGCCACATCTGCGCTACCTTATTAAAGCTGAGCACTTCTTTTGACACCTACTTGTCCTGCGCCGCGGACTCTGGCTGCAGACTTGTTAGGAGTGATCCGGAGTGACGCGCCGCTGACACGCCGTTTAAAGGACAAGAGTGCGCTTTGTGAAGGCTCGATGGCATACTTGTGGAGGGTGTGAGAAAATGGCACATCTCCTGTTAGCGCCTGTGTGGGAGGGACGAGGTGCTGTGTTCATATCTGCTTCATCTCAAAACGCTTCCAATACAATCCGCCGCCTGTCATGATTGTTGTTAAAGAATGTTCTATCCTATTGACTCTGCTACAATGTAATAATGAGATTTCGAAAACTCGACAGCCATCAGCCAAAGTGCTTCTAATGTCCAGACCACAGCCAGTGCATTGGTAGTGGTGGAAAGGTATAACTCAGAATCTGTTTGAGTAGGGTTGGGCGGTCGGTGAAGAAAAAAAAAATGAACAAACTTCATATTGATCATTTGGAGCAAAAACAACTTGTTTATTTGACCCAGACACTGTGAAAGACCAATGCAGAGAGGTAAAGACATGCTTTCTCCAAAACAGTGAGTTTAGGAGAAAGAACAAGTTCTCCTCTCCAACCTCCTATAACTGGAGTCTCTCATGTCAATAATTAAGACTGAGAAAAGTTGATTTTGCTACCAGCAGCAGTAGGGTCGAAGCCCTCTGTGAACTAATATTTCACATTTTTTTTCCAGACTTATACATGTTTTTAGTGGTAGAGGAAACAGACATGGGGAGAACATGCAAACTCTGTACAGTGGGAGGTGGAATCAAACCAAGAACACAAGCACAAGCCACTGCACGACCTTGTATGCTGTCTTGTTATCTGGGGTCATCTATAAAAGATTTAGATGCCACACTGTCTCTTTAAGGTCATTTCTAAAATTCTGTTACAGTCAGAGTGCTACATTCTGAATACATGGACTACAAATATGCCCATTTTCTTAAATCACAGGATCAAAACAACATTATCTTTGCATCTTTTGTTACGTACAGTATGTTTAAGTATTGTTATCTATAGGGAACAAATTATCATGTAGCACAAGAAAAGTTTCCATATATTATGAACTTTGAAACCCACCTAGCTTGCTCAATTTTTGTAATTCTGAACACGTATTGAGGCACTTCCTGACACTGCTCAGAACATGGGTCGGCAGATATCCAGTGGGATACAATTCTGAAGTACCAGAGACCCCCCCCCCTTCTCTGCCTGAAAAACCAAATACAACACAAACTCAATGCAATTTGGAAAATAAATCAAATCAAACTTTCAAACTCTTAATTCTATAACTATTATAATCAACAGCAGTTATCTCGGAGGACTTTCCTAAGTTGCTGATTCCTGGAAAACGGAAATGCGATAATAACAAACCAATAGGAGACATTGGTCAATAGGGAGCGAGATGAGCAATCTTTGTAAAAAAAAACAAAGACAAATTGGTTTTAAAATGTCCTGGATCATCACCACTCTTCATAGACCCTCCAGCATTGGCAAGGAACAGCTCAAAAACCCAGTGGGAAATAATGACAAACCTTGGGAAGGTTCACATCGAGAGAGGGAACCGCTCCCACAGACGGACAGGCTGTAAATCCAGGACTCAGACATGCTATGTAGGACTGAGGCGGCTCCCAGGCTGGGATGGGGTGCAGCCCACCAGCACTGATCGGGGGAGACACTCCAAGAGGCCAGATTCAGTGGTTTCATCATCAGGCTATGAAACCGACAATGGGACAGCGGGTGAATAGCAATGAACAGACTACAGCTGAGGTCATAATGATGATGAATAAAGTAGGAGAGAGGAGAGGATAGTGCTCAGGGTACCAGTTACCTGCGCGTTAAAATACTGACTCACAAGATGCAATTGATAAAATGTTTTCTGATGCGATGAAGACAGCATTTTTTTTTTTTTTTATTAGGCGAGTGCCCAAAAGCATTTGTACTTGGCCAGTTCCTTCCAACACTTACAATCAGCAAAATAAATTGTAAAATTGTATTGAGTAAATATGCATCAGCCTGTTCATCCATTTTAGCGCGTAGCAACATATTTGCACATTACAGACAGCTTTGATGCTCCGATGTCAAAAACTGGCTCCTTTTTTTCATTTTCATTCCACTCCGGTTACACGTTTTCCATGGATTACAACGGCAAACAACAAACTTTAGACAACTTCCAAAAACAAATAATTTGATTGTCCAATTTATTAACGCAGTCTGCAACATTGTTTCTGTGTATTGGACTTGTCAAACAATTAATTAGCCCGGATTTGGGGACCTCCGCGGGGCAAAAAAAGCGCGGTCTCCAGAGTGCGATTACACGGCATGTCACTCGGCGCACATTTTGTTACTGCAGTGTTGTCACGTCAGGAGCGGTGCGTTTGGGATAAGTGAGCCATCTGTACTGGTCCTGCCCAAAATGCCAACTTGTAAAAAGGGGAGGGGGGATGGGGAGGTTGGACTTGACGAATGTTGGCATGTGAAGAGGCAGAAGGGACTGAAGAGCCACTCCAGCCTGTCCACGGATAAACAATTAAACTTGTCCCCACGGAAAATACCATATAAATAGATCAAATTGACGTGGGCCTTGCTAGGACGTCGCACTGTAAAACGTATACCTTTCGTGAGCAACCGGTGTTTGAATGTTGGATGAAAACTGTTTTGTCCAGCTGTGCATAGGACTGATTGCAACTAAAAAATATTTGTATTCTCACTGTGCAATACTGTAGTTTCAGAATGTCCACTGAATGTCACTTAATTTTTTTCTAGCTGCTTTTAAGAAGAAGCGTTGCAGCTCCTTGTATTGTAAATGTTGTGTGCTTCTTTTAGTATTGTCTTGTATGTGCTCTACAACCTCCCCACTGTGAGGCAAATAAAGGTTCTCTTCTCTAATTTGAATATGGTGTACTTTATCATCATGTGAGATTTTTTTTAAATTTGATTTGGGTGCATGCTTGTTTGTATTGTATTTTGATTCTCTTGCGCATTAATCGTGCTGTATGCAGTAAATAATTTGATTTATTCATATTAAAATTTGAGAATGTATAAGACAAATTTTATGAGTTAATTTGGCCTGGTTCTTATTTACTGTATCATAGTAGACATATTAACCTCTTTTGATCAATGCTGCAAGTTAATAATAAGAAAGTCATCTCAGGGGCCACAAAAACTATTCTGCAGGCATTTGGCCCCCGACCCGCAGGCTTGGCAGGCCAGGGTTATACATATGTACTGTATCAATCTGAACTTACTAGATTTCTGCTTTACACCAAAAAACAAAGAACAAAAAACAACGTATGCAAAAATATAAATTACAGTTTCGAATCAATACTTCTATCTGCCCTAAAAAAGATAAAAAAAAAGGCTATTCAACTTCACTGATTCTCAAGACCCATAGAATATTATTTCCAAAGGCTATCTGAAATGTGAAACCAGATTCTGAAAGACTGGATTGTCTACTTGTATCAGCAAAAATACATTTATTTTTAGCTATTTTTGTATTCCTGTAATCCCCAGTCGAACAGAGGGTCTAAGACAAATATGTCAATGGCAGTCAATGTGTTAAAATAAATTGTTGACCATTACATATTTCAATCTGGATAGACTTAAAACAGACGGTGGTTCTTATTAGAATTGTATATTAGTTGGCAAGTATACTGACACAACATAACTTACACATACGACTCTGAGATAATCAACATTGCATTTATTGTTACTGCACAGAAATATAGTAGGTAGTAGTTCCCCACTACAGTGTGGGAGTGAATGAAAAAGGCCGTAGAAGCCAGTGTCCAGAAACTTGCAATCATAACACCTCTAACATGGTGCAATCCATTTAAAGCACACAGTGGCATACTGTACTTACAAACATTCTCAAAACTCATTCAGAGGCATTTCTTTTACATGGCAGCTCTGTTCATGAAATCAAAGTCTGCAGCATAGTTAAACGAGTTTGAAAGGCATGTATGTAGACAGAAGGGGTGGGGGGGCATGATTTGAGCCAGAGGATCCTGATATTAGCTTAATGCACAGAGATATCAAACCACCCCAGGTCTATTTTGGTGAAGAAACAACATTATAAAATCTCAAATACAACAATTTAACTACATATACTCTAAGTTACAAATACTTTAAGTTACATTTACTTTAAGTTACATTTACTTTAAGTTACATTTACTTTAAGTGTACTTTTAAATGAAGCAATCATAAGATGGACAAGATGAGTGAATTTTGTTTTTAAGATAAAACTTTGGAATTTTTTTTTTTTTTAAGAATCTCATTGCAATTTGAAGCATTTTGATGATGTAACTGTGCAATTATATCATCGACACCTATTTGTACATTTAGGGAATCTTATTTCCATAACAAGAAATAGATAGATAGATATAACATCCAAATTAGACAGCATTGTGTTGTCTTCATATTATTAGGAAACATGTCTTTGAATGAAAGATGTGTTCTGTGAGTCACTATTTGACTATTTGGGCTTAAAGCTGATGAGGGTGATCTTGTCTGCTCTACTTTTTAATCTGAAAAAGTTACTCAAAATGTAAAAAATATTGATAGAACCAAACGGTTTTGGGAGCGAGGAACATGGTTTTTATTATTAAGGTCCATTTTATTGAACTTTGAAAATTAAGTAACCCAGATTTAAATTTGAAAAAACATTTTCAGCAGTCCTAGCTGAAATCATGTCTTACCATTCATCTCGAATTGCTATTTTTGCAGTGGTAAAGATGAATCAATATCTTCAGAACCCTCCCGTGGTTCGACACGAAGAGGTTATCGCTCCCTCTTTGCTTTCGGACGCCACCAGGAATAACAAGTGTGCGAATCGATGCACGCATTGTTCCGGCAGGGCGCGCTGACAGCCGGGCCTTTGTCGCGGGCCGCATCTTGGGGGGATAGGGCGTTTGGGAGCCCTACTTTCACACTGGGAGATAACACAAGAGTGGTGGGCAGTCCAGCCCGCCGCTCATAATGGAGGAGGGGGAAGGAAAGGTTAGCTCCGGATGCTATCACCTTCGCGGAGTCCTGGGACACGCAGGGGGGCAGTGTTTGGAGAGCCTCGAGCGGAGACAGGGCCCCGGGCCGAACATCACCTGGGCCCCCGGGAGCCGCTCCGCTGACCCGACAGCAGGGTGTGGAGGGGAGTGGGGAGTCTAGTAAGTTTAGATGGGACCGCTCTGGATGCACTGCAAAAACTTATATACTGTAGCATTTGTGTAGAGCTCTATTAGACATTAGAATATTGTTCTAAAGTGCATTCACGTTTGTAAATCAACTTATAATGTGAAACAAATATTTGAAAGACTTATTACACACAGAATGTATTTGTCATAATGTTATAACTATGTCTCACAGCTTGTTAAAAACCCCAAATAAAAAAACTGAAAAAATTAATAAAGGCTTGAAAGATGTCATATGGCATGTAATGAGTCATATATCGTCTGAGTTTCTCCTTTATGTCCAATGCTTCCCAAAGCAGGGTCTGGGGACCACTGGTCGCACTGAGGTATAATTATATACTTTATTGGTAGAGCTGAAATCGACTGGATTACAATGTGAAAGTACTGTACCTCAGTAGCTATTTGGGTTAAGACTAAGAGAAGAGATCCTTTGTTGGTCCGACAGTGGGGACATTTCAGTGTTGCATGAACAGTTACAGCACAGTAGGAATGAGGAGGACACAGACTTTCTGCAGTGTAGATGGCAAAGAGGCACACTGCAGGTCTGGACCTCAGACACAAAGTCCCTGGCTCTCACAAACTGGGTTCGGTCTGTTAGGTAGTCCAGGATCCTCTGAGAGAGGTTACACCACACTTCAGCTGTATTCAGCTTGGATCTGAGAAATCGAATAACAGAATCTTCTAATTCTGCTTCTCCAGGTGGGACGGGAATTTGTGCCTTGGGCCAGAAGAAAATTACTTTGAAATAGATCTAGATATTTGGATTTAGGATAGATTGTTTTAAGTGACATAGACATAAATATACACAGCAGCTGTTAGTGCTTGTACTTCATTGCAAGAAGGTTTGAAAGTTTGCATGTTCTCCTCGTTTCTGTGTAGGTTTCCACCACCATAAAAACATGTACGATAGCTCTGAACTTAATGAGTGATTAAACAGAAGGTGATGGTCCGACTGATTGAACTAGAATCTGTACTAGAAATCTTTGTAAAACGCTTGTCTTTGAAATGTGCTCTACAATTAAAGATAACTTACTTACTCACTGACTAACTATACAAAAAACCCCGGAATCAAGCCATTTTAACCATCTCAGAAAACAGAATTGGGGCAGATTTGCACAATAACAATCACAATCCGTCCTCCATTCATGCAGCATCCTCAATGTTCCACCACGGCTCTATGAATGCACCGTCACATTATCACACCAAAACTCAACACATTTCACTCTCTCAAAATCAGGACATGGTGCTTTTCCACGCAGACACCTTCCAGACGGCGGTAATAATACACCCGTCTGACGATGCTTTTGACAGACGAGCAGAACGCAATCAGGGCCGGACCCCCTCACACTGTAAAACTCCACAGACTGACAGTCCAATCGAATGTGTAGGTGTTTGCAATTTTCTACTTATTTTCTGTGAACCATGTTTTATTTGTTGAAATCGGAGCAACGTTGTTCACAATTTTAATGAATTGTACATTTAAGTATTTTTATATTTGCGCTGTCTTGATAAAACACAAAAGGCTGCATCTGGTCTGTCCGATGTAACTGTTGTGTCCATATCAAATAAATAAATAAATAATGGTTGCAAGACTGGAATCGTAATTACAATTGTCGCAAACACTGCATTTATTGAGGTGCTAAACAAAAAAATTAAGAACTGCAAACAAATTATTGTCCTGTCTTTGTACTTTTTACCTTGTGCTCCAGTTTCCCCTCAAACTAAAACAATTTACGTGAAAAAGACTTCTTCGAATGGGATAAACAACATTATTATTTTTAATTTTTTACAAAACCTTGCAGTTTATGGCAATCAGTCACAATGTTGCTGTCCTTCATACACACATTTGTCAAATTTTATACGCATGTTATATCTCATTTTAAAGTTTGCACTGCAATCGCATGTGTTTATTTTAGACCTCTGCTATCAACTGTGAAATAAATCTACTTAAATTTTTGAGTTTTTGCCTAATTAAGTCATAATTCAATTTCAATTCATTACAAGGCAACAATTATAATGCAAAGGAAAAGATTGCAGTAAAGAAAATGAAATGATAAAAAAACAAGATTGAAACAAACATTACAATAAGATAGAACAGTCAAATAAAATAAAAAATATAATGAGAAAGATGGAATAAAAATAATGACAATAATAATGATAAACTAAATGGGTGAAAAAAGTACTAAAGTAAAAAAAAATGTTAAGATTACAATATTTTAATTTTTTTTAGAGAGTAACATTAATCAGACGTGAATTGGTAATCTGTTTTCCATTAGGGTTATTTCTTTTATTGTAAAATAAATAGCTTTAAATGAAAAAGTACGGTGCTGAAAATGGTGAAAAACACCTTGAAACAAAAGCCAATCCATGTCCATAATCTTTTCAATCTTTTTTTTTCTTTTTTTTGCAGTGCATGCTCCCCTCCCCCGAGCTGGGCGGCTGACCCGGGCCTGTCACTCAGAGAGGGGGACACCTGAGAGAACAGAGGGGGACATCAGATCTGTTTTCACACATCCACTGCAGAGGGGGGAGACGGGGGAGAGGGGATAATTGGTGGGTGTGGGTGGACGCAGGCATGGATCAAAACAAGAGCATGGGAAATGGTCCGTTATCTAGTTTTTTATTTGGCCAGTATTAAACTCAATCAAGCATAGATAATTATTTTACATTTGTTCACAATATATCAGTGGATTGTTGTAAAATTACGTAGTGGATGTCTGGCAGTATTTATTTTAGAATGGATTTAGAATGATTCTATTGTAAGTAGGAAAACATGGATTAATTGAGTAATATATAAATAGAAAGACTCCTTGTCCACGTTGAGAGAAACTCTTATTTTATTACAGTAAATTGTATCCGGAAAAAATAACAATTGTTCTTATGAGCCTTGTCTGTGTTTGCACATGCACCATTCATATTTTGGTGGATTTTGCTCTGAATCTAAAACAAATCAGTCTAAGCCCCATTCAGACTGCAGTCCTGTATCTGTAGGAGAAGCCCCTGAGGATTAGAGGTCTGAACCATGGGGTGACGCCAGGACTGGTCCCAGACTAACCAGTCCGAGTCAGGTCTTAATCAGGACTTAAACACACTCTTTGTGCTAAAATGTTTAGCTGGTCATTACAACAGTAGGCAGAAGTCAGTCAATTTCCACGTGATGTTCCTGGAGGTCAAAGGAAACTAATCTGTAGATAGCTTCGTAGCTGAAATTGCAGGAGTGGGCGGGGCTTAACCGGAGGCAGACACTTACTGTATGTGTTTATGATGAATGCACAAAATGGTGTTTTAGGCAGCACTATGGTACCATGTTCATGGCACCACAGTGGAAGGAGTTTGAAAACGTTGCCTTTGGAGATCTGTGGATGGAGGAAAAAACATATTCAGGTCTGTTGATGGAGAGCAGGGTTGTCAAATTTAAAACAAAAACACTAGAGTAGTAAAAGTGGGTTTCTACAGTATGAAGGTGTTTTGACAGTATTTATTTCTTTGAATTTAGGGTTTCTCCTAGATTTTTTGAAACAAAATCACTTTACTGTTTGGATTAAACCTCAACTAGACCAAATATAAAGAATAATGTAATTGAAGTAATTTTGTATTATTTGTGAAGTTAGACTGAATGAATGTAGTGCTATGGTTGTTTTCTGGAGAAACTGAAATTATGTATAACATGCTAGTAGCCCAGTACCATACATTTTTTAGATTTGCTATTTATTTATTTATTTTATCTTTATTGGAAGCATCAAGAACAAAAGTGACGAACGAAAAGAAAGTAGGGGAGGGATTCTAATCAGATTTGATGCATGTTAGGGGGTAGTTTGTGTGTGTAGGTCACTGTTATTGCTGGATATTATCACAAAAGTGTTAGGAAATGTAGCTAAAATTGTTTTTAACAGTTGTAACAGTGTGAGGACAGAATAGCACTGTAAGCTAAGATAAGATAAACTTTATCGGTCTCACAATGGAGAAATTTACACTTAATTATGTTTAATATTTTTATCAATGCTGTCTTTCCTTTGCTATGGCATTTAAAAACTAGCTCTTTCTCTGCCTTGGCTTCCCGGGATTGAATGGCGCTGTTATTTGGTCTTCCTTGCTTGCTTTAGGGGCTGTCCGTCTCCTCCGGCCTCAGAGAAGAGCGGTCACCGGGAAATGGCCTTTCTCCCAGCAGACGGACCGGGCCCCCAGCAGACTCTCCACCATCTTGTTTCTCACGTAGCACACATGAGCATGGGGCTTCCGCTGGAGCTCCCCGTTACTGGACTAGTATTGGTTTTCCAGCACACTAAACTGTCCCTTGGTGTTCTCTGACTGCACACATTTTGAAATATTTACAATGCTTGTTAGGAAACTTAAAAGCTTTGTAGGCCATTAGGCTCTCAAGATTCTGTACATACAGTATGTGTGTGTTGCATAAAATGATGCAGCAGCTCTCAGTCAAACAGAGCTGATCTGGTTGGAAATAGTTGCTGAGGAATGTAAGGTGGCCTGCTGGTTTAGGCAAAACATATCAATTGCATGAAATTGCTGTTGTTGCTGAAGTATGAAGACTGAAAAATAAATGATATTCTAAGTTAATCATATTCTAAGTCAGTTGCCTTATGGGTCTATTGTCGGTCACTGCTTTAGGAAGATCTTTGAGTGACGTTGTTTATAGTTTTTCCGCGCTGGTCACCTGACTGGGTGGCAAAACAGCCTGGATGCAAGAGGGTTAGCTACTTTTATACGTTTAGACGAGGTTTTACTAAATCAGATGGTCCACTATTGTCGTGTGGCCGGTTGTACGGCCCACTGGGGCCAGATGAAGTGTGTTTCCAAGTTCTTTGGAAAAGAGCAGCGAAAAATCGTCGCATCCATGCTTCAGTAGGTGTTGCTCTGGTCTTCTTGCCACCCTTTTTTCTTTGTGAAGACATGTTTGTTGGGGACTTACAAGAGACAGACACGGCATCGCTCCAGGTGCCGCTTCTGTTTGACTCCTTTCTGCGCAGAAATGTCATTTTGTACTCATCACTTCTGTGAATAAAACTGCACCAAAGGACAAGTTTGTTTCCTCTCGGTTTCATTCATTTGAGGCAATAGAATTTCCATAACAGCAGCCAAAGACCTGGATCACATTAGACCATAGAGCTTTAACTGTTGTTTCAGCTGTCTGATCTCTAGTAGGTACCGCCCAGGCATAACGGGTGAACTGGTCTGTCATTACAAGAATATTCTGTACTCTGTCCGTGGCTCTACCCAATGTGAGGTAATCTATGCTTATTACCTCTAAGGGATAGGTGGTAACAAAGGGGTGTAATGGGGCCTTTGGTTGAGCCCTATTCTGCAGACTACAGACGACACAACCCTGTTGGAACTGACGCACCTCTGCATCCATGCCGGGCCAGTAGAAAAACTGCCTTATTCGGGAGAGAGTTCGTTCTGCTCCTGCATGTGCGGCTGCCTCATGGTATCGCTTCCAAACCTCCTCCGCTTCGCTGAAGGGCACACAACCTGGACACAAATCTCGAGAGTTCTGGGGTTCTTGACCCTTCGACACAGCACACTATTTACAATTGCGAGTTTGTCCCATTGTTGTAGTAGCTTTTGAGCTGTAGCAGTGAGTGCACGTCTGGTGGGTGCATCTGGCATAGATTTCTCCGCCACACCTTGCCACAGTTTGAATGTCCACATCATCCTTTTGTGTCTCCCAATCCTCTGACAGACACAACTCCAGTTCCGGTTCAGTATTTGTATCCGTGCTGCGGTCAGCTGGGAAACACGGCCCTCTACTACCGTCGTGGGGTCACAGGGAAACCGGGAAAGGGCGTCCGCATTTGCATTTTCCCGTCCTGCTCGATACTTCACCTGGTAATCAAAAGAGGCAAGCTGGGCAACCCAGCGCTGCTCTACAGCGCCTAACCGGGCTGTTTGGAGGTGGGCTACGGGGTTGTTGTCTGTAAATACTGTAAATTTACCACCAGTAAGGTAGTCCTTAAACTTTTCGGTTATAGCCCATTTTAGGGCCAGCAGTTCCAGCTTGAATGAGCTGTAGTTTGCATCGTTCTTTTCAGTTGGATGCAAACTGCGGCTGGCATAGGCTATGACGCGCTCACGGCCGTCTTGTACCTGGGCTAGGACTGCACCAAGGCCTTGGTTACTGGCATCAGTGTAAACAACAAAAGGTTTTGAAAAGTCTGCATAGGCCAAGATGGGCGGCTTTGTCAGGGCAGATTTTAACTGTTCAAATGAAATCTGACATTCTGGTGACCAAAGGACGTTCACCTCAGACTTCTTCTTTACAGAGACCCCAGTTAAAAGTGCATTTATCGGTCGAGCGATTTTGGCAAAATTTGGCACAAAGCGTCTGTAATAGCCAGCTAGGCCTAGAAAGGCTCTAACCTCCCTAACAGTAGAGGGTATGGGCCATTCTAAAACTGAAGAGACTTTCTCTGGATCTGGCCTCACCCCAGCCTTGTCTACAATGTGCCCCAAAAACTTCACCTCATGTTGGAAAATTTTGCATTTGTCCATCCGCAATTTGAGTCCATGTTGCCACAGCCTTTGAAAGACTTCCTCAAGATGCTGCAGGTGAGAGGAAAAGTCGGGTGAGTAAATTATCACATCATCAAGGTACACTAAAAGCGATTCTGTTATTTGGCCACTTAGGCATTGTTGCATTAGGCGCTGAAATGTTGCAGGGGCGTTGCAAAGCCCAAAAGGCATACGCTCAAACTCGAAGAGTCCCATAGGTGTCGTGAAGGCAGTCTTTTCACGGTCCCTTTTGTCCATCTCTACCTGCCAGTAGCCACTAGCCAAGTCGAGTGTGGTGAACCATTCTGCCCTAGTGAGACTAGTCAGTGTCTCTTCAATGCGTGGAAGTGGGAAGGCATCTTTGTGCGTTATTGCGTTTAGCTTTCTGTAATCCACACAAAATCGCCAACTTCCATCCTTTTTACGGACAAGCACTATAGGCGCAGCCCAGGGACTACAACTTTCACGTATTACGCCTTTTTCCTGCATGTCTGCAAGCAATGTCTTTATCTCTTTGTACATGCTAGGTGGTAATGGCCTGTACCTTTCCTTGATGGGCGGGGCTTCTCCAGTATGGATGCGATGTTGGACCAGGTCAGTCCTCCCGAAATCCTCCTCATCTGACGCAAAAACCTTCATCCACTTCTCCAGGAGTGAGCGGAGCTCGGACTGCTGTTGTGGCGTTAAGCATGTTGAATCAATGAGTTTGCTCACCTCCTCGTTTGAGTTTCTCTCTGGGCTCCGGGTGTCTACCATGCCAACTTCCACAACACCATCTGGACCGATGCTCAGGCTCAGGTCACGGGCTCCCTGGACGTCAGCCTCCTCCACCTGGTATAACCTGCCCAGGTTTTGATAGCGCCCTATTGAAACTGGGTAAGGGTGGGGGTTGCAGACGCGAACGGGGACACGCCCATTTTTAACCACGGCAAGGGTTCTGGCTACTCCCCATGCCTCTGCGTCGGGCATAGCCTCCAGTACAGCAGAGTAATCTTTCCCACCCGGCCCAGTACAGGTGCGACCCCACACAATAAGTTCACTCTTAGGAGGTACCCAAACTGACTGCCGGGCGGCAGGACGCACATAGCCCATGAACCCATCCTCTGGGGTGGTGGCAATGGTTCTCCGACACACAGCAAATGCCTCCCGCCACGGTCTCTGAGACTGCCACTTCTGGGGATTAACAACTGCATCTCCCGGTTTAAAAACAGCATCCCAACAGGCACCAATAACATTCATCCCAATTAACAGTGGATGAGTGGAGCAATCATCTTTAACGATGACAACACCCTTGTCCGGGATTTTAACACCCTCTATTTCAAAGTTCATTATTGCATAGCCAGAGTATGGTATTGTGAGGCCATTTGCAGCTTTAAGTGTTAAAACCAAGGGGGCCGAGCCTTTTTCTACATCTGAAAAGTGCTGGTGCATAACTTTCTGTTGTATTAAAGTGACTTGTGAACCAGTGTCTAATAAAGCTGTCATTTTGACTCCACCAACAGATACTTCAATGGTCGGGCATCTACCAACAAACTGCGAGGTGGCCCCCTGGTGGTCAGCCTGTGAGGCAGTCCCTACTGCTTGGGCCTCAGCGGCAGGAGGAATTAGTTTAAAGGCGGCGTGTTGGGAGAGTTTATATTTCTGCAGAACCTAGCCATGTGGCCAGCCTGATCGCACTTCCTACATATGGGCTTCCCATCCCGAGTCCAGTCATTATTGCCTTGGTATCTGCGCTTGGGCCTGGCTTGGTAGTGGTGTGGCCTGGGAGAATGGTCCAGCCCAGTGTGTTGCAGAAGTGGTTTTAATTCATTGATTATTTCTTGAGCCATTCCTTTCATTTGGTCTTTCACATCATTCATAATATCTTGTTTTAAGGCCTCTTTCCAATTGGGTGTGTACTGTGTGTGGTTTTGGTTGGACTCACCAATAGCATGACATGAGGTGTCAAGGCCCCTCTGTCCACGCTGCTCTTCCTCCAGTAGCAGTGCCTCCTTGTGTACAGCAGCAAAATCAAGGTCTGGATTTCTACGCACGTATGTGCGGAGTGTCAGAGAGAGAGGTCCTTCTTGCAGTCCCAGCAACATTTGGTCCTGTAGGTTGCGCTCAGAAGGTGCATCATCAGGGTCATGCCGCCGTAGCCTGCAATAGATTTCCCTCAGGCGGAGAGTGAAAACTTTAACTGACTCACTTGGTTTCTGTACACACCCAAAGAACTGAGCTCTAAGAACTGAAACTGGGGTATAGTCACCATACAGAGAATCAAGGTGTGCAAATATTTTCCGTGACTGGTCCCGCTCAACAGAGTCTAGCACCTTGATTTGTAACTTTGCCTCACCAGCCAAGGCACCCAATAAAATGTCAACTTTTCTAGGTTCAGCCAAATCTTGAGAGTTTAGAATACCAGATATTTGTTCCTTCCAGTCCCCATACTTCACATCACTGTTAGGACCTTGGAATTTTGGCAGCCAAGGAGCTCCAGGATACACTGGCATCATCATCATCTTAAAAAAATAAAACAACTTTAAAAACAATAAAACAGTAATAATAAAATGTTAAAAAGAAGTCTTTGGTTATACACTGCTCAAGCTTGAATCCTGCCAGCAACGCCAAAATCGATGTGGCCGAGTAGCATATAAAAGGAAAAGCAACGCCACCTAGTTTTAAAAATGAGACTAGGACTCAATAAAGGAAGGTTCTTAAAAACAAGGTGAGCAGTGTAAAAACCAGAGTTTTAAAAGGGATAAAACAATTTATTACAAATAAAATTACAGAATAAAATACTAAAAATATAAAAGCAAAGTCCAGTTAAAAGTCCAGTAAGGGACGGGGCAACTCCGCGTTCCCAAGGCAGCAGACCTAAAACCAGAGGAGCAGGAGGCAGTAAAACGTTCTTTTTAAAAATAGAAATCTGTAGGTTAAAAGTGGGATGAATCCCGGCCAGAGCACTAAAGGTCACTTACGTGCACGGGCAGAGAAACTCTGCCCGCTGCGGTGATGTCACGTCGTGCTCTGGCTCCACACGAGGGAATGGCTGGCCAGGCCCCTCCCTGAAACAAAAACGGGTCTCCCACAGTAAAACGCCTTAAAAACAGATTTCTATCGGCCAGCAGCAGCCGTATGCCCGAGCAGAGCACTACAATGTTACTTACAGGCACGGGCAGAGAGACTCTGCCCGCTGCGTGTAGTCCGCGTCGCGCTCTGGCTTTCCGTGGGTCCTGTGCAGGTACTGCTGACTGCTGCTGCCGTTCTCCGTTGCCTCCTCTCCTCGGTTGCCCAAGACACTCTGTCGTCAACCTGTGTTCTTTCTGCCCGGGACGGGGCCGCAGTCTCGCCAGCCACTTGCCGCCCACGGGTTGCCACTGGGCACACGCAGGGGAGAGCGGGCACATTCCATTCGTGATGTTGGGCCTAGCCCGGTGCACACACGCCTCTCTGCGCTTTCAATGCGCGCCCATCACCGGTGCCGCTCTCCCCGCTGGCCTCAGTCCCCCGTGGTCTCTGGCTGGCGGTGCCTCTCCTTTGGCCCAGTCCGGTGTCCTCCTCCTTCTTCCTCCCCCATAGTCTGTTTAAAAACCCTTTTCTCATTGGCTCCAGCCCCCAGTGTCTATGTCCATTCGTTAAAATCAGTGGAAGCTGCCACAGGTGTGAGGATAAAAAACAGGAAGTAAAAACACACAGTGCGGCACACAAAACACATTTCAAAATAAAAGCATGCATAAAAACAAAGTGCGCTGTGCGTCTACCCTGTGACATATGAACAAGATGGCTGCCTTCTAGTCCCTTTTATACAACTCTCCAGTAACCTCCATTTGTTGTGTGGAATATGGCTCCAGTTGACTTTGACCTTGGTCCCAGCCTTCATCCCCTCCTTGGTCACGCATCCCTACGTATGCAAAACTCCTGCACAGACGTGTTGACAAGCATTCGTTAGCAGCTCTGGCGTTCCAGAGTATGTGCTAGAAAAGCGTGGACGTATCGTGCTGTTGCCACTGTCGCCTTAGTACCGCGGAAACAGGAGCTGAGAGCGGCTGTCAGAGGCTGTCAAGTAGAGGTGGGCTCCAAGTGGGGGGTCTGAGGTCACGAGACTGCAGAGGGAGTTACACAAGTTGATATTTCAACTTGTGAACCCTTAAATCTAGAATTGTGTGTCTTAATGATATTGGTATGGCCTTATTGATATGTAGTAGATGGAACAGATGGTTATTGGTTGTACATATATTTTCTGCTATTGTGAAATCTCATGGCTTTTGCGGATGTCTTTGGTGTCAGTAATTACGTCATAAAATAAAAAACAAATTGCAACAAACTTGACTCAACCTTTTTCTATGTGTAACTTTATTTGCTGAGAAACAACTAACTTCATTATTTAGTCGCTCCGTAAGACAAGCTCACACTGTTTGGCTTTTTCTAAAAGCATTCTCCAAACCCGGCAATGTGTAGTGGTTATCCTTGCACCCCATCCACTATTTCCAGTGAACTCCTCTTCATCAGCATTACTAATATTGTTTTCTGTTGGCCTTACGCTCTGGATATATCAGACCACTCCAAATAATAACTCTAATTTCTACACATTTGAATATGTCTCCAATTCTGAGCCAACAATAAGCAAGTTAAAGTTCACAAAGGAAAGCTGACTTAGAGAAAAGTCAATGCTACCTTTTCATCAATAGAATTAGCCAGACGTGCTTACATTTAAACTTAAGAGTAAAGCTATGATCAAAGAGCCGTTCCCACGCCCCACCTGTTACCTCCACCGCGCTGTCATATTAATCAGTCTTATATCATGCGAAAGACAGCCCAACCTCAATGATTTTCCATTACACCTTTTCCCTCCATCTTGTCTCCTCTTCGAGCTGCTCCACCGTTCGCTTTGCGCACAATAACCATCATCATCTGGCATCATTTCAAAGCGCACAGCGGTTCACCGACTTCCACCCCAGAGTTTATTTGGAAACGAGCTAACTAATCCGCATCGAGTCAAGTTCCCCCAGAAAGGTTGAAACTTTAAACAACGGAAAAATAAAAGGAAAAACAGTGGAGTAGCTTGTAGCGCGCTAAGTCGTCAACCTGCGCAAGTGATCTTTAGCGCTCTAGCCCCCGAGTTCACGTCAACAAATGCGCTCAATCACTCCCGGAACGCCGTGCGCTCTCTATAGACCAATTACTGCCTTTTTGAACCCTGAGGCTGCCGGGAAACTTTGACACCTGGAAATAAAGCCCAATCTGTCAGCGAAACAGAGCGGCTATTAAAATCTTTGTAATTCCGTAAATCGCAAGTGATTTGTTTTGCCTCTCGGCTGGTTGGGATGCATCCACACAGAGTTGGCAAAGGGCGCGAGGGTGTAGTTTTGAAACGTTCGGGGGGGTTGGCTTTTCCAGTCTTGGATGGCAAAGATCTTTTTCTGTGCGTTGTAATTGCCTGCAGTGAGACAGAGAGCAGAAGAGGGAGCGTGCGGGTCTTTCATCACAAGACTTGTCTCCCGAGGATCCAGCGCTGTTTATATTTATGTAATAAAGGCAATTTGAAAGAAAGGTCAACGCAACTCCAGAGATGGAAATCCACTCGCCGATCACAGGACGGATCAGAGGGATTTGAAATGGGGAAATCAGAAAAAAAAAAGATAAATAAGAGAAAGTTTTTGGAATCAGATTGAAAGAATTATACTGGTATTTATATTCTGCAAAATGCTAAAAGTTGTGCGTCGTTTTTTGAGCAAAACTTTTGTATTATATTGATTTGGTAAAGTTCTAGTTATAACCAACCTGCTAGGCCACACATTGGCATTAAAGGCTAAATGGACTTTTAAGAGCTGTAGAAAAAAACAAATGAATGGATAATCATCATCGAAGCAGTTATAATATTATATTTGTTAATGCATAGAACGTGAACATCACATTTTATCTAAAATTATGAATAGGAATGTTCCCCTAAAAATACAGCATTGGTCAGAATTTGAGTTTACTGCAGTACTATTATATAATTGTCGTGTTCTGTGTATCACAATATTGATTTAAAAGCTGGGGTACCCAACATTCAAACCACAATCAGATGTCACAATAAAATATAATCCTTGTAACTAGTTCCTTTCTCA